GATATGTAGGATCTATAGTTTGATAGATATTACGAAGATGATTTGAGGTATGCGGCAGCCTCCATGTAAAGTTACGGGTTGAAAACAGTATTTCCGGTCTCGACGTTTTCATAATAAAACCAATGATAAAATGATTTAACAGTGATATCTGCAGTACTCATCCACTAAAACACATCAGTTTATCCTTGTTAATTATACGACATTAATTGGTTTAAATTGTGTACAATGCTTTTGTGTTTTACCCATAGGTTTTTCTCTTTCGATTCTGAGAGACACATTTCTTTTTTCAGAGGTTTTGATAGGCTAAAACACCGAACTACCCACAATCCTGGATGTTTTAGCCGCAATGCACGTCGGGATATGGTGTTTATGCGATATGAAATCGGAAAACATTTAAAAAAAATAAAAATAATACTTTATTCCGAGTGTTCTTGCTTTTCTCTTTGAAAGTCATCACATAACGGCATTGTAATACACGGTTCGGCTGCATTAAATATTACACATCTGCCGTAGTTCTCTATTTATAGAGCCCTGATGAGAAGACTTCTGGACAAACAGGAAGAAGTGCCGCCGAAACTGAATATGTGACGTGAATCATAAATATATCAACAATTAAACAACATCTTCCATTTATTTTCACAGAATACGTCTCCTTGCAGTATCAACATTAATTCGGCTGACTTTTATATTTGATCCAATTGGTAGATAGGCTATATGTACACCATAACGGTGCACAGCTGATATAAAGGGACACCTAGTTAAAAAACGTTATTGAATTATTTTGTTGAAATTATGTTATATTTGATGAAAAAAATATTAAGAATACATACTTTCATAGGGGGAAAGTAGAAGGTCAATGATATAACTATAGAATAGATAATATCAAGAAGATACTGTAGTGATCTCTACAATAAAACAGTTTAGTGCAGGACATCCAAAGATATTAACAGGAGGATGTGCAAAACAGACACACTAATAAGGCTTTATTTAAACATTAAAGAATACTTTAAGTTAAGGTCTTCTTTTGAATAAGAAAAAAACGTTGCGGGTATCCACAGATAAATATGAAGTCTGACAAAGTACTTAGCGTCTAATATATTGCATAGTTTATTTTGGCACTTGACAATCACCTTCCCTGAATTTGAGTCAGGTGTAACTAAAGTCTGATTTAAGGGTTGTTTATATTTCACATCATTAATCAGAATCTGCAAAGTAACTAAAATAAATGTAGTGGAGTAAAAATACCAGGTTAACCTCTGAATTGTAGTGGAGTAGAACAAAGTAGTACTTGCTGCTGTAACAAAAACATTTTCCAACTTGGGATCAATAAAGTATATTTTATCTTATCTTATCTTAAGATGATCGATGGCTACTGCCATATTTGCTAAATGTGCCTCTGAACCTTGACAAGTGCATGTTTCAGGCTTATCAATGAACAACAGGAGAATGAGAATGTGTCTTACGTGGAGAAACGTGTGCAGTGGTTTGCAAAAAGTGCTATGTTGATTTGCAAATTTTGTGAAAAGCTGAAAACGTGTTTAGAGTTTTGGAGATTTGAGCCGATGTTTTGCTCTTTGAGTGTCAGTTAAAATAATTGTGCTTTATATATAATTTTAGTGTGTTAGCAATCGAGAAAAACTGTAATGTCTTTTAATTCATTTCCCCAGAAATCAATTATCCGGGCCCAACTGTTTATAGTTCAACCGGAAATTAGGTTTAAGCTTGCAACCCAGTGCTTACTATCATGCTGTAAGTGAGGATGTCTTTCATTTAGCCTTTTCAGACGAAACAGTGTGTTACTTTAAAGTCTGTCACAATAAATCAATCGGATATCTCTAAGGACTACTGATAAAACATCTTCCTTTTTTTATGTTTGGTCCGCACAACATTTATGTAACGTTAAATGTTATGTATGTGTACTGTATGTTATGTCATGTTTTAAGTCACACTTCTATGACAATTGTACATCGTCAAGGAGTTTTTCCTATTTATTTGAACCTGATGAAGGATTGTAGTGATTGGACGTCTGTATCTTAAATTATGAAAGAAGCTTTAAAATGTAGCCCTTATCTCCTAGCCCCTCCATCCTGTCCTACTTAAACAAGACAGATTATTGACGTGAAACTGCTTTATTCAGTGTTTTTAAGTTTAACTCACAGTAAACGTTTGTTTTGAAGAGGATCAGACTGCTGCGGATAATTTGGCCTCCGGTAAAAAAAAGTTGCCGTGCCCATCTTGTCCGCAGTCCCTCTGAGGAGCTGCATAATCACACATTTTTAACTGCTTCATCCAATGTTTTAACGGGGTTGCTCACAATGTGTGTTTGTTTTGTAGGACGAGACTGCTGCAGATAATTCGGCTCTTGGTAAAGTCCTGCTGGAATATGAAACTGAAGAAACCCTAACCAGGAGAATCTGACAGAAATGGTGTTGAAGACATCCTCCCCCATGATCCCACACTACTTCACAACGCCACCAAATTATAAATTGTGATTGTTTGGATAAAAAGATCCCTAGTGGCAGAAGATTACATACATTCATTGATATAATTGTAATTTTAAATGATCATAAATGATTATGATTTACAAGATTAGTTTCTTAAAAACTTCAATACCGGTCCTCACTGATGCAGAAATGGTGATGTAGAAATCCTGACAGCAGGCAATCAGAGAAGTTAATCATGTCTTTTATTGCTATGTGCTCCCCAATACAACAAACAGCATCAGTAGTGTACACTTCAATCTACACAAATACAGAGAAAAGCAAATAGAGCAGAGAGTGACTGACAGTCATGACAATCGTAGGCTAATACTTCAATGCACAGGTAGCACAGGGGCTATCGTTAGAGTACATGGAGAATCCTATGCAGTAATATCTGTCTGAGGCTCAGGGATTGTCAATGTAACATCTACAACTATTTATCATTACAAGCTCTGCGTAACATTAGCAGCAATGTTGTATAGGCAGCAATCGAAAGAACAAGGGGGCAAAATGGCAAATGGCTAGACAATACTGACAACTACAAACAGTTACAGCATACAAAATACTTTACTTGTTACTGGTACTATTAATGTTTTATTGGTTAAAATAAAGCATTTGTCTGGTCAGTACATGTTGCTGTGATGTAACAGCTCTGTTAACAACTTCAACAAAACAGCTGTGAAAAGACAGCTTTCTTAACAAGTAAAACATCTCAAAATTGAGCATGTATATTTACATCTAATTGTTTGCAAAAAACAATGTCATTTATATTCTATCATGTTTTAAAAAAAAGTTGAAATCCATTGAAATCCATGAAAATGCGGATGAAAAATGGTCATTAGAAGTGATTCAATGGTTTATCTGCTGCAGCTTATTGACCAGCCGGCACTGCACATATTGTAAAAACAAAGCAGAGCCCTTTTACTTTCAATAAATACTTACGTACTGAATGCTATATACATGTACTACACATTGGCACACAGGGGTGAGTGTGAATAGTTGTTCATTTGCTGAAAACACAACTGTGTCTTTGCTATTGCAGTCAGATGCATTGTGGTTGTAAATAAATCCTTTTTTTTCTTTTTTAAATAAATAGCTTCCTCTCTCCTGAACCATTTTTCACCATAAAAAAGCCATTCTGTAAATAAGTTGGGGGAGGGGGGGCATGTTCCACATACAGCAAAAACATTTTTAGCATATTGTGCTTACAATGAGGCTTTGTTCATGCAAACACAACATGTGAAATACACCTTGTTTTGACTAGTTGGTTGTGACGATCTTAAAGCTCCATTAAGCACGTTTTTTTATATTAAATAAAATAAAAATGGATCAAATGATTGTGTCATGTGTGTAAAGACATGAAGCAGCTGAGAATGAAGACCTGCAGCCCCCCACGGTTTATAGAATGATAGTTCTTTAACAACTCCCAGATAAAAAAAGATGTGTTTGTTAGCACCAAAACGTGAACAATCGGTCAAGAAGCAGATTTCACTTGGGAGTTGGTCGAGACCAAAACAGAGCAAGCAGGGCCGGCCCTGACCAATTTGCTGCCCTAGGCAAGATTTTAGCTGGCGCCCCCCCCCCCCCAAATGCAGACACTTACACTTACTATGACTCGCGCGTGCACGGTTGTGGCATGACCACCAAAACAGAAAGACTGTAACTGTATTTAGTTTCCTATCCATTTAAACATGATTTAAGTGGGGGGGGGGGGGGTTGGGGGGACCTCACCTCCTCTAGGGGGTCCGGGGGCATGCACCCCCGAGAAGACTTTTTTTTTTAATATTGAAGTTAAAAGCATCAATCTGGTGCACTTTGAGAGCAACATTAGGAAATCTATGGATACATCTCTCAACACCCATATGAAACAGAACTGTAAACAGATTTTCTTTTTATTTATGGATATTTTACAAATCACTCCCCTTTTAAACTGTATTGTTGTTTATTAATAACAACTTTTTTGTACTGTCATATAGTATTTTATACTTGTTTTTCACCTATCGTCTTATTTTTAGCTGAGGTTATCAGAGCCGCTCAGTCTTTCAGGAGAGAGCTCTCTAAAGCTCTCCCCTCCGCGGCCGCTTACACAGTAAATTCCAATGTTAATAAAAGCACACAGAAGCTGTGTACATTTTTTGGGAGTTTTATTTATTTTAAATTAACACAAATTTAAAACCATTATTTAAAACCATTATTTCACATAAACCTCTGGTTTTTACTGGGGCAGTTCAACTTGATTTGGGGGGGGGGGTGTGCCATAGTTTATCGGCGCTGTACGCAATATAGGCGTAGTTATGTTACTATAAGATAATAAGATGTAATTTGTTGATCCAAAATCGGGAAATTGTGGTGTTATGCAATCTAAAAAATAATATATTTTTTTTAAATTTCTAACTTTTTTTCTCCCCAATTTTCGGCTTCCCCTATGGGTTGATGCGCCCTTATAATTCGCCTATACTGCCTATGCCGAGGGCCGGCCATGAGAGCAAGTACTGAAGAGTGAGTTTTGGATTTTAATTAATCAGGTGAACAAAGATGTTTCAATGTGTTGCTAATCAAGCTAACTCTGCTGGATGTGTAAATATGCTAACTGGTAGTTTGTTTGGGAGGCTTTATGCCCCCTAGTGGTCAAAACACGCTTAATGTAGCTTTAAGGGAATACAAAATCAACAGTTTATGTCATTGTATAAAATAATCCAAAAAAAGCCAAAACCAATTATCAATTTCAAGTTGTGTGTTTGCTTTTCCATTGTCCCATCTTCTCAGTTGCATGGTGTTGTTTTTTGCCTCCATTTTCAATCTGTTCTGGCTGAGCAAGACACTGCTGTATTGAACATACACTATTGAGAACACTTGTTAAATATGTTCCCTTCTTTGATATGTCTGGGCACACAATTTCACAAGGAGGGCAAAACAGAGAGTCGAAAAGGGTCTATGGCTAGCAGTAAACAAACTTCTAATTTAGCGAAAAGGTCAAATGGATGGATGGAAACATTTGATATTCTCAGAAATTTAGTTATTTGCTTTCTCACCAAAAATAAGAGGAGAAGTTCATACCACACTTGGGTCTGCACAGTTAAGATGAACTGGCAGCCAGAAGATGATTAGCTTAGCCTAGCATAGACGAGAAACAAATAGAAAACAGCCTGGCTCAATGTTAACCAAAATCCTTTTGTTTTGTTTTCTACACTTTTTCTGATTAATTAAGCAAAGATAGGACATGTCAAAATTGAGCTTAAGAAGTTTGGAAGCAGAACTAGCTGTTTCCCCATGCTTCCATTTGTTACGCTAAGCTAAAATAAGCTAAGCTAAGAGTTTTGTTGAACTATTGTCATAGAAACATTCCCCCCAGAGAACTTGGCATTCACATACAGGGTAAAATAGTTGTTTATGTCCTTGTAACACTGTTGTTGTAACATAAATGCTTTTATAATTGATTAAAATGTTTTTTGAAAGTGTCCTCAGCTTCTTAAAAATAATACTGATATTTGCATACACAGTATTTACAGCATCCTTTATAAATACCCATTTCAATAGAAACTGTAGAGCTCCATTTAACTGACATTGCTGGATCTATATAAAAAAAAATCTATACAACTTCAACCATTTCCAATGGTTGTGCCACTTTGCATTTGTGGCCATATAAAGACTAGTGTTTAATTTTATAAAATGCAGTGACTTCTCACATACTAGGACATGTGGGTTCTCCGTAAGTCAAGCTTCACACTTACATTTTTTGGCAAGAAATTGGTAGTTTGTAACGTTCAAGTACATTTTCAGCTGCATCAGAATTACCATTTTACATCTCTGTTTCCATCAACTGCAACTTTAAATTACATTACATTGCATATCATTTGTTAGATTAATTAATAGCAAATAAAACCTCCCATCCAAGGTGAGGGATCAGAGATTTGAAATGGTGGCGTTTAATTAGTCGAAACTTGCTGTAATGCAATGTTAATCAAACGAAAAGCATCTGGGATAAACTTTAGGAATAACAAAATGGTGAATGTAACAATTTGCACTCGAGCCGTGTTGTTTTTTGTAACAAGTGCAACATGTATTTCTGTTTTATTCCTGTACTGAGTTGTCTTTCTGCAGTGTGCATACATCTTCACAAATTGAATCAGCTGCAATTATTGCACCTATTGACATTTTCTCTCTGCTGTCTGCTGAAGATGTTCTGGAGGCTGCGAGGCTCTGCAGACACAGGGGCCCTGATTCATTAAATGACCAGAGAAAAGAGCAGCCAGAGGGGGAATATGGACACCTTCGCCCATACCTTTCACCTGACTTTAAATAAAAGCTTCAATACTCAGATGGGTAAAAGGGTTCAATTGGAATTAAACCACAATTTCTTTGTTATATATACTGTTAGTCTGGAGTCAATTAAATGAATAATAATATATCCTTTGGCTATTTTGTATCCCTGAAATTATTCACTATTAACTACCAACACTTTGTTTCCTTGATCTTTTCACATGGAATGACATTTCCCTTGCGGCCCCTTTAAATTTGAATTTATTGTAATATTTACTCCTCTCAATTAAATGAATGAAATCAAGGAAACTCAATTTAAGTAATAATATACTCTGGGAGCTACCTGGAAGATTATATATTAAAAGTCAATACGAGGGGCATAAAGGAATGGAAATTCTTAACAACAAAGTGAACCAGCACTTTTTCTTTCTTTCTCTGCGTTTCTCTCTGTGGTGTTTTTGGCGTGAGAAGACTCAGGTTGAAGCTGGATAATCTGCAGTACATTATTGAAAGTCCTGACGGGAAAGGGGCGTTTCTTTCATCTCTCTACTTCAGAATACGCTGTAGGCCACTCGCTATCTGTCACGCTGCCCGACCTTTGACCCTGTGTGGAATCAGCCAGGGGAGATGGTGCCATAGCGGGCAGCTTCCTGCCAGTGAGAGCCATGTGTGGTGGTACCCGCCGTGCTGTGGTAGCGATCTTCAACAGGGTTTTCTTAAGTTGGGCAGGGGTGGTGGCGTGTTTCACAGCATTGACTGAGGTGCTGGATCCCTTGCCTGGTCCTTGTTTTCCTCGCAGAGTGCCGTTGGCCGCTGCAGAGGCCGTTAATGTCTCCAGCAGCTGGGAGGCTGAGCCGAAGCGGACATGATCCTCCGTCTCAGCCGCTTCCGGGAAGAGGGCTCCACCGCGTCTGGTGCACGAGTCGCAGCACAGTTTGTTGTAGCCTGGAATAGAGCAGTAGCGTGCTAGGACCTCCATTTGGCAGAAGATGGATTTGTCTCCATTACATGGCTCATCTGAAGGAAGCATAAAGCAAACAGTGTGAGCACTTCACACAGCCCCGAGAAGCTGTGAGAGATGGCCATGGAAAGAGATCCAACAGGCTGAGAGTAAGTGGGTGCATTACAGATCCCTTATTCATTGTTTTAACTATGAGAGTCTGACAGATAAGTGTTTAGGCCATGACACAACCGTAGAACATTTCATCAACAGTATGAAGCTCATTCCAATGAAGTCTGATTCACAGCAGCTGCCTCTCAGATACACACCACCATACATTAGTGATCAGAATGAAGGTGCGCTCCATTTCAGGTTCAATGTTGGGTGACAATCAGGTGTATTTTTAAGCTTGAACATTTTTTAGGGTTTCGATATGTTCACAGTATTCATACAGCACCAAGACCTACTTTATTATATAAAAGGCATACAAATCTTGCTTTCACATAATGTTACATTGTTTGTTCTTCTAACTGTTGTATCGTCTTTTTTTAAATTACATTTTGTATTTTAGTAAAGCTTTTTTGACCTTTGCACTGATTAAGGGGTTACACTTAATTAAGCATACATAACATAAATACCTGATGCTGTTACTTATATGCTTATTGATTTTGTAAGATATTTCCAGAATCCTCAAAGACTTTTCTAACGGTCTGAATAAAATGAAGACATGTTATCACCTGTAATGATGGCTTATTATCCGCAATCAACTAGTAGGGGATTACTAAAATCATTTATTTTTGTTTGATTTTAAGGGTAATTCAAATGTAAAGCTGACTGAGTTAGAGGCACAAATCCGACACTCCAGTATGAATGCAAAACACAAAAGAAGTAGAGGAGATATTTACCACATCAAATATTCAATGAAATTAAAAACATTGCCGAAAGAGCTCAGAGAATATCTTGGAAGACTTCAAAAGACTTCATTATTCCCTCAAGGGAGCGTCTGAGGTAAACTTTCTTGCAGACATAAAAACACAAAGATACTCTTACTTTCATTTTGCGCCAAAGGATTCATACGCAGTGGATGATATTTTGCTTTTTTGTTAGAAAACTGTAAACTATGAACATGTTTTAGTGAGCATATTGAAACATCTTCCTGACCTTTTGTCACTCAATCTTCTTTTTAGCTGTCCCCCATTACATTATATACCTTTATATGTTTATGCGCATACAAATACTATAGGATACTAAGTAAGGGAGAGGGGGTTTTATCGAAAAATAATCTGAACACACCACGTTTGAAGGAGCCTGTGTTATTTGTATCTTCATCCTCTGCTGAAAATCCACTAGGCAATGGATGTTTACAGGAAAGAGTTTTAAAAAGTGATTTTCATAGGTTTGAAAATACGGACATACTCGACTATCGATAAAAGATGCTGTTTTTCAAAAATAAATGCTAGTAAAGGTTTTAGAATAATGATTGGCAGTTAAAGCAAGACTATGTTATTTTTACTAAACAGTAACCCAAGTTGCACTGAAAGCAAAATGCCATATTTAATTCCATTTTAGGATTCCTGTGTGTGTTTACTCCCTCTATTGTGCTGAAGTCCAACATCAACAATTTACCAAGCTGACTGTCCTCACCAGAGGTGGGAAGGAACTAAGTACATTTACTCAAGTACTGTATCCACTACATTTATTTAATACCTTTAGTTACTTAACATATTTGGATTAATGATGTGAAATATAATGAACCCTTAATTAAGACTTTAGTCAAACCTGGAGTTAATTCACAAGCTGCAGTATACAAAGTCATTACAACTAGCTGCACCTTTGCCAGCTTTGATAACACTTTAATGACCAATAATTATAATAAAAACATATCATTTATATTGTTCTGAAATGGGCCAATCTGCATAATGAGTAGTTTACATTTTTTATTTTGTGTGTCTAAGTTTGTTGCGTTTGTGTGGCTAGTGTGGACATTTGTGTTTGACTGTGTAGGCCCCCAGGACGAATAGCCAATGTTCATGCTAGTGCTATCGGGGATCCTAATATAGAAAAAGACCATTTAAATCCACTCACTACAAGTATGTACTGTAATAATGACTATTCTGCAAACCAGGCTGTTTTTAAGTGTTATGTTCCTTTCTTCCAGGCAGCAGTTTTTCTATTCATCTCTAATAGAAATGTTTGACTCTTTAAACCTGCTAGAGTTGAGAAATTCAGCAGTTTTGTTTGTGGGGTGAAGGGCAGACATTTTTCAAAACTGTATTTACCACCCGACAATAATGGCACATTAAAATAAATAAATACACACTTAACGTTCATTGACATGAATTGCATTACTTGTTATCGGGTACCAACGGCTGCCTGGAAGGTTGTGACACAAAATAGCTTTAGGAAGGAAATGACATGTAGATTATTTTTGAGGACTTGCTCGAAGGATTTGTTATTCAAGAACGCAAAAAGTGCTGAAATGTTGAACCATACTGTAACATTGAAATAGTGTTGTGGGGGTTTGTCTGGAGTAGGTATTTGTTTTCCTTTAGTTTTTTATGAAAAACATGCTTACCGTGGCAGGGTCCTGGTCTGCACGTTCTCACATTTTCAGGTCTTTCTCCGTTACATTGATCTCCGATCCGGCAAGAGACCAGACGCCTCTCCAACCCCTCCCCACAGGTCACAGAGCACTGTGGAAGATTGCAAACACACTCAGAGATATTGCAGCAAAAGGATTCCACTTTTCTAGTTGAGGCAGAAGTAAATGTTAGGATAACTGGCTGGGTAACAAGCCCACTCGAAGTTCAATATCCACCTAGAGTACAAACTAAATTCGCCGCTGCCAGCTGAGCCGGCAGAAAATATCAGCATGGACACATTTCCTCTATCCCCCTCTTCAGTCTGTTTTCACAGGTACACAGCAACACCGTTTGTGTCCTGGATAACAGGAAGCTCTCACTGCTGTGGGTTGATTTACTTTACACAGCAGGTTCCTGTGTCTGGATGGTTTTTCCGAACTTGGCTGAAGAGTTTGTGTAAGAAGCAAGGGGAAGCTCAACTTTACTTTGATTCTTTTCCTCTACATTTGACGAAAGATCAAATTGGATTAGAGCCCCTAATTTGTATTGCATTTTTGAGGGATGCACCAATGTCATATTTTCAGCTTATTCTGATATTTAGAGTTACAATTTAGCAGATGCCGATCCATATTTTGCTGTTTTGTCGTTGTTTTTTCTTTTTTGTTGCCAGGAAAAACAATTATTTAAAAAATATATTAAACTTAGCCATCAATTACACTATCTTTGAATGCGCACCAGCTCTTCAAAAATACTTTTTACAACATTTCTTACAACTCTGCTGTACTATTATCCACTCTGAGGAGATTAGAAGTTCCAACAGACAGTGTTGCGTTGATTTCCTTTGTCCATCATAATCCATTATTACTTGTCATTTTTGGATGATGATGAATACAAAAAGGATTAGCATAAAGTTGGTGACTGCTAATGTTTAAATCAGCTGAAAGATGATCAGGATTCAGGATCATGAGGGATTTGTATCCATCATAAATGATTTTAACATACTTACAGTACAAGGATTTGTCTTCCAACAATAGAAAAACACTCAAAAAATGTCGTTAAAAATATAAATTGTATTTGTAGGAAGTGATGTGTCAACACGCTGTACAAACTAGTTTATTACAAGCAATTTGTGAACTTAATAAGATAACAACATGTTTTTTACTTAATCAAAAAAATTCACTATCAATCTCCAAAATGAGGAGACACAGTTGTTATATATGCTATTAGAAGTATTGCAATATTCACTCATATATCATATATTCATAAGCAGTTTTATAATTTGGGTGACTTGGCAACATTGCCAGAAAATATGCAAACATTTCTTACTGCTGCAGCTTCGCATTAAATGCATTTAACCGGTTAAAGTTGATGTTTTAGGATCTAATCATAGAAATGTAAGGTTTGTCAGTAAGCTTGAAAATGTTTCCCCGCATATTTTAAAACAATAATAGTTTGTTTTGCTACTCGCAGTTTTTGCTGTTGCTATCAGTAATTAGTTGCCAATCAAACATTGAAACGTTAAAAATGACCACTTTAAATAAAGCAGGCATTTAGTAATGAGTAAACCATCAACTGAATCTTAGCGGGTGATCGTTGGAAAGATGAAAGCAAGGCAGCATGAAACTGGCTTTGGTTGATCTTTCTTTTGATATGACTGGCTTTTTGTTTGTTATTAGTAATGTGGCTGTTTTTAGACTGATTTCCTGCTGTGGTCACCAACTGTGGGTGAATGAAAATGTCAGGGACACAATTAGTCTGTTTATTCCTCACAGCTGTAGCCCAAATGAGTCTTTGTGATTATTGTCTGATTTCACAAGCATCTAATTGTAACTCATAGATAAATAAAAATACAATTAAACATCATTATAATAATTACATTTACAATACGGCTAGCTCAGTGCATACAGTAATTAAATGCATGCATATAAAGAGCTCTCTCCCAGTATGGGGACAAACCATGATTTAAAAAAAGAAAAAAAGATCTGAACCCACACAAATCCGCTGCTAGCATGGCATGTTTCCAGATGAGATGTGACATTGCTTTAAATTAAATATCATACGCATCTGCTTCATTTTTTAACTTTAGAATTACATGTCATTATCAGACAAGCTGCTACTGCATCAACACGAATACACACAAAAATGTATTAGTCATTAAAAACGAAATCAATCCGACAGATTGATGATAAATTAGGTTGTAGCTAATTTATACAAGCCCAGACGACAGAATAACAGCGTTCAGCTTCCAGAGATGTGAACGGCTGCACAAATCAAGCCCTATATAAAGTCATAAGAAATGTTCTCCTTTAAAGCTCACCACAATATATTATAGGGCCATATCTATACAAAACATGTCTCTGAAGTGTTTAGATCAAAATACCAAACAGATCACCCATTGTAGCCATGCCTCACACCCCTCTATTTCAGCCCTGTTACAAAAGTGCTGATTCTGGGTCAGTAGCTACGGGGCCACACCCCCTTTGGAGCGCACATGCAGCAGAGCTGCAGAGAGAATCAGATTCCCAGCTAAATGCTGCTGTGCTTAAACACCATATCATGTTCCAAACCACATCAAGGATTATTTCTGTAACAGTATGCAGCTCAAACTATTTTTTGGGTACGGAGGAAAAAAGAGAGGGTTTTCTTTTCTGACGCTTTGTAAGTCTCCTTACACACCGGGGACACATATTTATGTATTAAAGACATTAAAAAGTGCCTTTTGCATAATCGGGGACCTTTAAAATAATCATATGGATACTGCACCTCTGACCAGGCTCCGGTCCTCCACTGGGCCGGACAGGAGACCCTGTTGCAGGGCCTCCGGCTCTCCGGCTTCTCCCCGCTGCAGTACTTGCTGTGGACGGAGCGGTTGGTGCCCTCGTGGAGGAACTGCACACAGCGGACCGTCCGGATCTGGAAGCCCAGGCTGCCGCAGGTTTTGGTGCAATGCTCCCATTCTTCTGAGATCCATCTGGATGAATCAAAAAGAGGAGTATACTGAAGTTATACAACAGGTTTCGCTGGTTATAACGTTACCAAAAGGTACGCATTTAGTTAGAAAACAGCAGCAAAAGAAATACTCAAATTTAACCGATTAAAGACTGCAAAAAAGGTCCGTCATTTATAATCCCACTTCAATACTCTGTTAAATGAAAATATCACAAGTTCTCAGTTCTGCGAATGGTGTATCTTTAAACATGACATTATATAACTGCTTTATATACAGTGAGTCAATGGCTCTCGATCGAGGGGTCCAATAAGTTAATTTAAGTGTGTTGGTGAGGAAATAATAGGATTCTGCATCACAACTCTGCACATATATTTACATGTTTATGTATGTCTATATTTGGAACTGTAATCTTTGCATTTCTGTCACTAATTGTAATTCATAGACATCTGAGCAGTGGCGAGCCGTCAGGGCCCTCTAGGCCCTCTGCGAGGCCCTAAGATATTCTAAAAAATAATATTTGAAAACATTAAAAAAAAAAAAATATTTAAAAATATTTTTTAAATATTTTTTTGTTGTTACATTTTTCATTAGTTTTACAAAAATAACTTGATTTAATTGTATTTAAAATAACATTTCCAAATAAATAAATCCTTCGAATCTGCCTGTTCAGTTTCTGTTGGAATGTGAAGGGTTAAATGCCGTCTCTGCGAGTTATGTGAAGACGGGAGAGCTTGTTGGTCCCTCTCTACATTCACAGAGGGCTCAATGAGGTAACTCAATGAGAGAGTAATGTCAAATGACAGTACAATTGACCAATCATATCTTCCCTCTAAATGGGTGGGCTTTATTTTCGCGGACTTGATGACAAGTTCCGCCCGCTGTGAGGTCTCTGCAAGTGACGCGTCCTAAAACCCGGAAGTAAGCTGCGCTCGGATTCCCTCGACAGAAAGCAATGGAATTTCTCCATAGGATTTTGGAAAATAGCTTGAAATAAGGTCTGTGGAAAACGAACCTGTTAGATAAATGCACGTTTTGTTCAGCCGGGTAATATCCACATGTCTACCCTACTTTTATTATTTTCGAATCATAAATCTAATCGATAGATTTATGATCGATAGATTTATAATTAGCATAAGTTCGTTCATGATGGCTCACTTCAGTGATAGTGATGACATCGTTGCGAAATTATTAACCGAGTCATTTTCAAGATTGAGTTACAATGATAAACTGGAGTGGCAAAGGAGCAGCTGCATGACCCCGCCATCAAGTGCTTCATCCAAAAGGACAGGAGGATTGACTTTGTGTTTAAGTGATTTGATCATCAAAGGTAGGCCTAAGTCATTTTCAATGTGGGCCGCCGTGCCGACTTAATTCATTTGTAATTGTTACATGGCTGTGGGTGCCCTGTCATGATAGGTGTCATGTATATAAATGGTGTTGTTTTGTGTGGTAGAGGGTCGCTGTCATTGATGCGTTTTGCACCCCGGGCCGTTGTTTTGATATTCCGCTGAAGTATATGGTGTGACGTAATAACTCTTCTTTTTTTTCGAGGGAAGGGCCTAGGTATAAAAGTCACGGCTCGCCACTGCATCTGAGAGGTGATAAGGACAGACTTTAGTGTCTTTCATTTCAAATGTTATAAGCCAAACAAGAGTGATCATTGGTTATTGAAAACATCACGCTGTTGGTTTAACGGGTGACCTTTATACTGCTGATAAACTAGTAAACACTTGTAAAAGGTCACAAGACTTTTAAGGTTGGAAACAGCAGTTTGCAACTGTCAAATAAAGGCAGAGGAAAAACAATGACAAATTCCCTCTGAACTCATGGAGTCCCCCATAACCAAGTATTATTTTATTCTTTTAAAATGTTTTCCGGATTTCATATAATATAAACACCAAATCCCAGCATGCATTGCGGCTAAAACATCCAATAAGCGAGCTTAAACCATAGCTGAGGATCTTGGGTAATCGCTCGAAATGCCTACGTCTGTTTCCGGTTATTTTTATTTTGAAATTCAGCTCCTGACGGACGCCAAAAAAGCCAGAGATTATGGAATTAAACCAATAAATAAAAGCAAGGATAATTGTGTGTTATTGGTGAGTAAATAATAGTGTGTTATTTTGAAAAGAATAACAAATTAGAAGGAAAAAAAGATTTAAAAATACAGATTTCAGTATTCTGAGGCTCTGAGCCCCATTTATTTTCCTCACAGACGGCAACAAAAGTCCAAAATTATACGATTTAAAATAAAAGCAATAACTGTGGCTTGATATTGAGTAAGAACATGTTTTTATGAACCACACAGCTTCCGGTCTTCCAAGACCCGACCGGAGAAAAGACGTGCTGCAGGCACGAAACACATTACCAGTAGAAATACATTGCTTTTAAAATCGTGCTGTGCAATACGAAAAAAAGGGGGAAAATGGTGTTGGTGAACACGAAATGCCATGAGACTGGTTGGCCTGCAATACTGCATCTATCATCAAATGACTTGTGATGCTGCCCATGACAGTTATATAATTATTGTTGTTAACTTGTACACTTTACTGCTGTCACAGTGTGATGTGGTCATATTGATCTACTTTCCATTATGTTTCACTGCGCTTTTCTCAGATTTCCCAGCAGCATGTTATTATAAGTTATATAAGAGTTCTGTGACAATAACAACTGTACCATTCTATCAATAATGAAAAACCCCAATGTCAGATGGAGTGCAGCAGGACCCACGACTTTAGTGCAGACATTTATGGTTCCCAGTCGATGGATCCTATTCACTTTAGTGATCCCTTGGCTTTTCCCCCACCATGAGGTTGACATTTGTGGTTATGAATGGGTCCATTACTTTGAACAAATATCTGACACATTGTTCAACTTATTGTGAGCTGTAATGAACTTATGAACATTTTCTAAAATGTCTGACTTTATGGCAGTCAAAAGTAGGGTTGGGTACCGAGAACCGGTTCCAGTTCGGAACCGGTTCCAACATTTCGATTCCAAGGGCATCATTTAGAAATGTGAATTTCGGTTCCGCTTTTCGATGCCTGAGGAAATGTTTCTCGCCGCTCTCCGTAGCCTACTGTATGACTGCGGCGAAGCGGGAAATGTAGCGTTGTACCTACACTTCCTACAGTGTAACCTGAGACCAGGGCCGCCCCGTCGCACTGGCATTATAGATGTTCGCCTAGGGCGCCAGATCTGTGGAGCCGCTGCGCTGACAATGTTTTGACCGTTGGTGCTCATCCTAATTTTCGTCCTTGATGTAACAACATTCATAATTAAGTACATGTAACACCCTTTTTCACCCCGGTTACACGTTTCATTTGCCCTGTATGATGGGCGCTGTAAGTGATGAAAATGGGGGATGTTGGCTTATCTGGCGCCCGCAGCTCACAGCCAAAATGCGAGGGAGCGAGGGAGAAAGGGAGGGTGCACTGGAACCGGCGCTGTTGTTATTAGCACCTGGTGCTAGCTGCTCTAACGGAAGAAGATGTTTCTACAATGATGTGGAGGGAGAGTCCTCTCCAGTCAGACTGAGGCTGATAACTACAGCTCAGTGAGGTAAAGAACTTAGTGTTTAGATAGTTCACTTTAGTCTAAGTTATCTCAGTGGGTCTCAAACGTTTTGATCACAATTTATGTAAACACATATTTCCAAGGCACTCCTTTATAATTATTGGTATAAAACAGGTTTGAAATCATACCAATGTATACTATAGGACAGTAAACCAGACATATCGTTTTAAACTGGAGATAAAAAAATATGCATAAATAAAATAGTAAAATAAGATATGAATGAACAACAAAAATAAAATACGTTACATGTATTTGTTATTGGCTATGGGTTATTGGTTATGCTCACATACTTATTTAATTATTCAAATGTAAACCGATCTTGTTCATATGGGTGTTTAGAGTTGTACCCCCTAGATCTAGTCTCTAGTAATTCTGCTTAAAGTGCACCAGATTGAAGCATTTTGCTTTAAAATGTTCAAACATTTCTTCCTGGTATGCCTGAGAAGGCAGATATGCTTGTTTTTCTCAACAAGAACTTAATCAATTTTTTTACCCTGCCCCTCAAAGAATCGGAATTGAGAACCGTTAAGAACCGGAATCGAAAAGTAGAATCGGAATCGGAATCAGAATCGTGGAAATTCAAACGATACCCAACCCTAGTCAAAAGTCAGTTGTTGGTTCTTGCACCTTGAAGGCCAGCACAAATGTTTATTTGCGCCAGTTGGGTCAAACTGGAACCATATTGGTCAGTAGACTTAGTTGTTTGGACAAAATAATGTTCTGTATTGTGCTCAGTCAATTTTGAAGAGGTTCATGCTTATATTTTGTTCCTCTTCTGTGACATGTTTACATGCTTTAATGTTCAAAAAGGTATTTATTTCTCTGATAATGTCTGTGTTGCAGAACCTCTTTTCACCCTGGACACAGTGGAGACGTTATTGTTGTGATAATTTTCTTGACTATGAATCGTGTGGTCTCTTAAATGGCCATCACCACTTCCCAGAGCCCAAGTTGATGTCACAAAGGTCTATTTTTATTCCAAACCACAAAGCTATTCAACAGAATTTTTGAATAAAAACAGCACATTCTTACACTATTTAACTAGTTATTGCAGATGTAGCGATCATTCGAATGTTTTGTTGTGTTGTAACATAAACCTGCCTTTAAATCAATACACACTGATCTACCTTTTTGATAAGATTGAGGAGAAGCGCCTTACAACTCCCCCTTTAGTGAGAGCAATCTCAGTGAAACAACCTGAGCCTTTAAGGTTGAACCCAGACTTATCTCACTTTCCCCAGTATACTCGCGGTGTTGCTGTGTAATGACAGGCAGATTGATCAAAGTGTAGATCTATAAAGCCCTCTCACTAACCGCAAGTTAATCTTCTACACCACACTTCAGACCTCCTTCCTTCTATTTGAGCGCCTAATACCGATTTGGGTCCTGTAAACGCTGGGGCATACCCCATGCAATCAGCTACCTGGATCAGCCTCATGCAGCTT